TATTTTTCCAAATGTAAGAATGTGCATCGTTCATTTAAGGTGAAAGCTAGATTTCTGTGGGGCATTTGACCTGTACCCCATATACAATCTCACGCTTACTCATGATCGTCACAGCGAGATGTAAAATCCATTAGTGCTGTGACTGCTTTTACGAATTTATGCTTACCTGTTAAATACACGTTGTCATTCATTTGGCTTTTTAGGACATTACTATACAAAAATGCCATAGCCATTAAAGAATATATCGTTTAAATCAAAGGAGGGTTTGAATCGAGAGTATGCTACTTCCTGTTCCTCACAGGTCACGTGATTCAATGGACACCATGCCATGCCATACCTTGATTCCATGGGGTTGTGATTGTAACAGGTACAGCACTGAACTGTATGTGGTCAGGCAACAAAGCTTTATTGTAATGGGTTCGAATGTCAAACGTCATCTGAGAAAACTGTCCAGGTTGTAATAAGTTAACTGTTAAAATTATCGAGACATTCTAAATCAGCCTAATTTGAGTGTCACTGGGGTAATGCCACGTAGGAATGCCATAATGCAAAATAGCACGTGATTGAGGAAATAGCTTCACCGTGTGGTACCTTGTACTAGCCTCCACTGAACCCCAGAGGTATTTTATAATATAAAAAAATCAAAAAGTTCGAACCTTGGCCAGTAAGACCAGTTAGTCAGCTGCAAACACCGTATACCAGGTACACATAAACATTCAATGGTACAACCTTACATTGCCATAGATTTTTAAGTCGTCCCTATCACTTTTATAAGCTATAGTGCATCATAGCTGATATGTGACTTTTCATTACTTGCGAGAATTTGAATTAAAACCTGATAACGCCTTGCCTTCATTGTTCAGTTCATGAAATGCGACCATACGCTAATAATGCTGAGAATCGGAGCAGATTTGTGCTTTATCTGCCTAAACATCAAATAAACAAAAATCGTACAATGGTCAAACTTTAGGAAGAGATCAAGTACATACATAGAAGATACAATACAAGAAGTCTTTATTGATACAAGTGATTAATTACTTTGACCCTTTCTTAACCCTAATAACCATATTGAACGTTAAGATAACATTTACACGATTTGAGTATGTATAGCCTATCAGATAGAATCCCTAGTTATTAGAATGCCATTCTATATACAAATAACAATTTGTAACTTTTCCACTATGAAGCTACTCAATCTGCCAAATAACTTCATTTTCTATGCATTTTACGGGTTCCATTTGGCAGTGATATGTTTGGAAAGATATCGTAAGTAATTGGTTTTCTCTCGCTGTATGTAAAGCTACTAAAAACAACATAACAAGTGATGAGCTAACACACTGCCACGATGGGGTGTCTCTTCAGACGCAGTCTACATATTGTTCTCGTTTTTTGCTAATTTAGTAGGCTAATGCGCGATCCTAAGAATATATAGAGCATCGCACAAACATGTAAATATATGTGTAACCAGAATTCCCAGAAAAGACTTGACGTTAAACTTGAAGCCGAGGGAGAGAACGTTCATTTTGGAAAGTTATTGAACAATCCAAAGTAGAAACTCATTTTATTTTGCTGCTATTGTTGCTATATTTAAATTGGTAAGATCATTTCAAAACAATGACTCCATATTCTGAGAAAAAGGTTTGATATTGTTGCGGTTATTCAGGGGTCCATTTTTGGTACCTTCGTATTACTTCTAATTAAAAAGCATTGTATTCTAAACTGAACAATAGCTTGCAATGTTTTTCACAACCTATAAGTGAACGGAAAATAATGAAGCGATGCAATTGTATGGGCGATTGGACATAGGTATAGGTTGGCGTTTCGATTTTATATGCAAGCTTAAACTCCCCAATGACTCGTGATCTGAACTCGACAGTTCCGATGTAGACACAATATACCAGAGGCCATGGGTCATTGGCAACGGATCCTGTTAGTAGCTGGTCAGAATTGTCGAGTATCCCCTCCCCTTCTCTGGTTTTAATCAAGCCCTTTGTGAGTACGTATCTGTATATTGCTAACCGATCGGCGATCCCCCACACTCGATGCGCGTTTTGAATTCTTTAATAGGTTAAGGTCTAAATATCGGTAAATGCATGCTGTAATTCGTTGATTTGATCGATATTATATAAATTATTATATATCATATCTCAGAAAAGATCCAATGATATTGAGGCCATCCTTGAACTCTGGGTTTTCCCTCCTCTTGATTTGTACTTTTATTTTCTCAATTGTTTTCAGTAGTAGCCAAGAGATGATTCTTGGTAGGACTACAATTCCTACCCATAATTATGGGTCATAAAGGAAGGCCAACATATGGGGGAGGGCTCGATTGTCCATTCATTTTACATTTATCATTTAATAATATAGATGTAATAATCTAATAGTTGACATTACATTGAGCTGTTTTAACTCATGATTATACGCTTCATGCTCTCCCTTTATATGAAATATAGCAATTTTGAATGTTCACATCAACTTTGCATGGTTAACATAACAACTCAGTTAAAGTTACACTCCGTTATATAACAGGATCAGGGCTTAATTGACAGTCCTTTGATATGATGTAGACACATGCCCTTTTTATTAAGTCTAAATTACCGGGTCCAGTTAACTAAGGATGATGCTATGTACTTTCACTGCTTGAGATTCAACCAAGGCAGTAAATGGAACTTGAATGTGTGAAATTGATAAAGCAACAATTGATAGTTGGATTGCCAACAATGACACCTTAGAATGTCAATAATGACACCAAAATACCAATAGATATCAGTTAGACTAAAATTATGAAAGTCGGGGGTCCGTTAGATAATATACTTTTGTTAGTTATAGTGCAATTCAATGTATTTGGACATGTATATATTTAATGTGCTATCTTTTTCAAGTACTAGTATCCAATTTTGTTCTTTTTGATCGAGTACCATCTGGTTATATTAACCTCCTTTGTTTCTTGAGCATATCTTAAGCATATCTGTGTCCTAAACATATCTGCGTAAAATTAATATCCTTGATATCGGTTATTGGTCTTGTGTTTCTCAGACTATCATATTCGTAGAACCTTTGTTTGGTCTTGTTAACTTATTCGATGTTTATTCCCCTAGCCACCGAACGTGTACATTTACCATATCATCTTCAATATATTCGTGCTCTATTTGTTGTAGTCTAAATAGTGGATTATATTATGACATAGTTGTTGGCTATTCTGATAGTCTGGTGAGCCATCTCTCGTACCCCCTCCCATCATCTATCCTTATCTTTGTATATTCTGTCCCTATCCTGATTTCAATGCTGATAACATGTCTTGGAATGTTTTCTTTCAATTACACTCATGTAGAATAACAGTGAGTTCAATCATGGCAGCAAAGACAGCAGAGGATAACCCATACACGACATAGCCCTTCATAGTAAGTACTCTAATTAATTAACGGGTCATGATCATGATAACAGTCTTGACTTGGAGGTTTATTGTTGCTTTTTGTATCTGTTCATTTAACAAATTAAGAATCCCCAGCACTTTTTAACCCCCCTATCACACCAAACTAGTTCTTACCCGTTCTTGCCAGTCCTACGAAAACGTCGTAAAACGGGCTCAATCTGGCTGTGGTCGGGAAATATGTCTGAAATAATTAGCTTCTTCGTTCTTAAACAGTCTTCAATACGTCCATCTCGTTCGCAGTTCGTTCAGGTCGCACCACGTCGGTGTGCAACGTAGTAGAACGCGTCCCTTAGTCTAGAAGGTCAACATGACCTGATTACAGAACGGTATGGTCGCCATCGAATTTTGAATCGATTCAAAATTCTAAAATCACATTCCCGTCTGAGAACGTTCATAAAGTTTGTAAATAGACCTTAGAAAGTTGCAGCTACGTTCATTCCGTTCGCACACAGTTTAAAACCAGTTTTGAAGAACGCAGTGGCAACTTGTTTGGTGTGATAGCTATATTTTTGTTAACTCGTTCATAAGCAGTGTTAAATACGTTCTTAATCAGTTTAAACCCGTTTGCAATTAGTTCTACCTCGTTCTCAACACGTCCTCAGACAGTTCAACTCGTTGTTAAAACGTCCCAAGTAGGATTGAAGTACGACGGTTCCGTTCGTAGTACGTCCAGCTCGTCGTTAGTACGTTGTCACTCGTTCTAATTGTAGAACGTGACGACCACGAGAACATTTTGAGCATTGCCTAAGTTCTAGAGGACCTACCCGTTCGAGTACGTTCGATGAAGTTTGTAAATAGATCCCAAACGGTTCTTAGTAAGTCCAGTCCGTTCGTACACAGTTGAAGCCCGTTTTCGAGAACGTAGTGAGAACTAGTTTGGTGTGATAGTAGGGTAAGATACGCGCAACGTCGGATCAATGATATTGCTGTTCGTAAAAAGTGGGTTCTATCAGTACGTTTCTGAACGTCTCATATGGTGCACAGTTACATCTACGTCTCGGCATGGGCTTTCTCGGGTATGCAAATGGGGACTCGCTCCATAAAAGATTTGAATCTAGAAACACTTACTATAATCCTGGCCAGATTCCCTCGAATTTTACTGTATCGTTGTCCTTATACTAGTACCATAGTTACAGCCACATGTGAATGTGGAGATCTCCTATTTTCTCCAAGTTGAGAATTTGGGGGACTTATCTGGCTTTGAAAATCGATTCCCCTTCATTTGATCATCCTGAACTTTGTTTCGAATCTGTGCTGAGATCAATGGCGAAGATCATTCCTCGTAAAGGTTTGACATGGTTTTGCCATTTACAAAATACACGTTAATATACCCAATAACAGACTTATACAAAGCACACGAAATACAGCTCCATTTATTAGAATACTATGTATTTGACCATGTTTAATGAGTCTGTGCAGTTAACTGACAGTTTGATGGATCGGTGTTAACTATCTGACAGGATTCAAGAATAGAGCCTTAAAAATGTTTGTTTAATACTTTCAAGAAATAACCTCAAAAATAACATGCTAAACTACATGATACGAAACTCAATAATTTTAGACTTACTGTAAAAATTGAGATGCAGTCGATGTTAAAATCCAAAATAATGGTTCGATTTTTCACTCTTTCTCTCTCTTAGAATATGTGCTTCTTAACTGCTCGACTATGCAATTCGATTTCTCTATCGTAAATATCCAATTAGCTGATCCTGTAAAACAAGTATGGTAGACAGAATTAAGATCGGATCCGTGTGTCTAAGTCTCCGCTCTGCATCATCTTCTAAAGTTTACATTCCGCGTGATCAAATATGATTTGATCAAACTAATGGAGTTACTTGCCTGATGGTCAAGATAACTCTTCATAGACTCATCAAATCTTGAATAATATTAATTATTTTTAGTTTTTGTTATCCTTTTATAGTTTATAATGGCCACCGCAATTGTGCTGCAATATCTTCAAGTCACTGACTAACAATGTCGATCTGAAGTATTTGCGCAAAAGTTTTCACTGAGCAGTATTTTGCGCATGGCAATGTCCGTGTTTAATTAAGGGACCATCTCAAAACTGAAAGAATCAAAATATCCGCGCGTTGAACAAAGGCTACCCATAAAACATCGGTTGAAACAACCCTTATGAAACAGCTCACTCGGGTTTGGGATCGAGAAACCACAAAAATGGAATGCGAAACAAATGTCTGGGGGACTGCGGCGCCAAATGCTCAATAGCAAAGTATACATACAAAATATTCAATATGCATTCCTGTATTAGGTTTTGTAAAATTTAAATAGGGTTAAATATCGTGTTGTTTTCTAAATGAACAAGATTGATAGTATAATGAGAATCAAGGTTTTGTGTTCCCTCGAAGAATTGGGGTGAATTGGTGTATTTCGTGATAGCTTTTTATTTCTTTTTACTTTCTCTAAATAGTCAACTGTATAGTTTCGTTGATACTAATTATCTGTATCTTAATCTGACTTCAAAATATATCAGTTTACTTATTGATTCTAATGATAGTAACAGAATGGCCTCGGTTGACCTTATGATATTCTTCAAATTGACATACATACATCGCAAGTGTTGATTTCTCGTCAATCAAAACATGCATAATATTGCATTTAACCTTTTTAGACTTTGTCGTCCAGCGATCAAGGTTTTACCTTCTCGAGAACTATTTTCATTCCGAAGTCCTTCAGATCTGTATTATGACTTGGTACATTTTACCATTCCGTAATCTTTAATTGTCGATCCCTGTCTGATTGAATCGCTGCACATGTTCACTTAAAAAACACCATATCTGAATATCTATTGGTTGGTCTCAAATCTCGAATCAGCATCATTCACTTTGACAACAGGCTGGCGTTCCTTTAAATCATCCAAGCAATCAATTAACGACTTAGTCATTCTTTTCAAATCTCACCTGATCGTTAAACGACAATTCTGAGTTAGTGTCCCAAAAGATATAACCTCTTAATAGTCATCTCTTGAGAGAAAAATGAAAACCTCAGCATGCTCAATAGTCTTTGAACTTAATAAAATCATTTCCATTAATATCAACTAGTTTCAATTGATTAAAATAAAAGGTTATCGTGACAAGCCATCTGCATTTTCAAGTCCGATATAAGACGGTGACAATTTTTGGAACATGTTTAGACATAGGGTCGCAGATGAAGGTTGGGGCTCCAGGGTGTACGTGTGCCTCAGACGAGACAGTGGTATAGTCAAACTAGAGTACATGTACATTGAAGACCAACGCCCCTCAAAAGTCACAAATAAACACAGTTATATCATATGTTAATGGCTTTCTGATTCCAGTCAAAAATTAAAAAATACGGCGAGGTGACTTTCATGGAATGATTAGTTATGACGCAATTGACACGCATGTCACCTGAATGGACACAATCAATTCAAAACAGGGAACGGAAATGTTAGATCTTGATTTGGAATAATAGTCATTCATTGCGGAGGAAATTGGTATTGCTTGTAGAAGAGAATTTCCTAATTTAGATACTTTGATCATTAAGCAAAGCCAATAGATTGAACATTTTCAATTGATGTTTATGTTCAAATAACGAAATATTGAACAGGCGTTGGCGTGTACTTGTAAGTCAATCTGTCAAAATTAACATTCGTGAAATTATTTTTTCGATTTCCAGTCAAAAAATAAGACGTAACATTAAATATGAAATCTCTTGAATTCTTTAGAAAAGGGCAAACATTTATGTTGACGTGTAGTACTACCCCTCCCATGTAGGGACTACGATAAAAAATACTGGTCTTTGATACTGATACAAAAATAGCTACCAATAACACAGTGTGTGATGCTGTACATGACGTATAAGTATTTAATTCCGGAAAAAAACAAACAGAAAATGTCATTGAATGTTTTATATATCAATTTCACTGGAGGCAACAAGAATAGAAACTGTCTACGCGAAAATAATGGATCAGACGTGACACAGCTCAATGATTCAGCTCCGAAGCGATCTATTTACATTATGTTAGAGGCCTAATAATCCATAACAATACCCACTAACATCATCGAGATTACCACTTCCAATTTGTACTGACACACTAAATATTGATCAATTGATGTATTTAATTGTTCTTTTTTTGTTTTTACGTTGTTCTCTTCGGTTTTCGTGTAATTCTTTCTTTTTTAGATTAGTATACTGATTTCCCTTTGTGCCTTTGGTTGTTGAAAAACATCGATAAAACCATGACACGTTTCAAAACAGGACATTTAGACAATTGAGAAATCATTCGAGGACCTCTCGAGGTTTGAGGTGTACTCTTAAAGTCGACCATTTGTTGATTACTTTCTATTATAATGACGTAACCTAGTTCCATTGGTCTGGCTGTCTACCAGGGGTTCGTTTCTTCCGAAACTTTCTTCTATCTCGACCAGTACAAGAATAATATACGAATACAACACACTCAATGGAAATACCAAATAACATACACTAGTACACTCTGTATTCGCAGATTGGCTCGCTACGCTCACAAAATAAAATTCAGGTTCATTCTTCGGTACGATTTCGGTACGGTTCCATTTCATGGAAAACGTATGAAATATGGCAACCAATTTCTTTTCTATTTTTTCATTTTTTCTACTACTTATCGCATCTATGCTAGAAATTGTATCATTGCACGCATTTGCAGTTTAATATTTCTTATCTTCTGAGGAGGTTGGTCACACTGGGTGATTACAATAGACTCATAAAAGAATCCCTCATCAGCATCCCTCACAAGTGAACTATACATTTTTGCATTGTACCACAGAATGAACCGTAAATCGTAAATTGTTTAACAGATTTTCTATAGCAATAAAATTTGGAATGAAGGATGAAACTGAAATGAACATTACGCTCAGTAAGCGCATTGGAGTCCAGAAACCGTTTAATGACCATCTCGATAGCTCGGTTGGCCCCCGATGGGGCATCTCCGATTCATACCCTCGTTTGATTTAAAGACAGAGTATGTTTTGCACTATTCAATTACCAAATTAGCAATTTTTTGTCTACGAAAGAAAACTATTTTCGTCATTTTTGCCGTTCTTATAAAACTTTGGATTTAATGCATCAAAGGCTTTGACGCACTGGGAAAACAACTTATAACCTAACCGATTTCCCCATTGGATGCCCCTCGGTGCATTATTAATACGCTCATATATTTGCAACAACCAAATGTCTAGAATTTTGAATAATAACTTTTCTTCGAGACTAGCAATAAAGCACTCTAGTTAATAAATAGCAACCTATGCCACTCAAAGGAGTTCCTCCGCGACTACATATATCATCCAACAATAATGAAGCCAATAAAGAACGGGGTTTGTGATTATCGGGGCGATAAATCAAACGTTGCATCAATATGAGGCAGGGTATAGTTACATATGGTGACATTCTCATAAAATGTAATACTCCTGCATTACAATGTTTCATAGAATGTTGAAACCATACCGCGATTTATGATGCACGCAAAACTTAATTGCAAAATCCTTCCTTTTTCCTTGACTCGCGGGGTTGATATTTCGAATTTTCTTCTCTTAACTCTTTAACTCTTCTCTTAACTCTTCTCTCTATTACAGCGTCTATTACAGCGTCGATTTCCCTTCTTTTATAGATATCCACTATTTAGGTTCCATCATATTATGTGAAAGGACACAAATGAGAAAGGGTTCCTGTCTCATATGAATGCTGAACCAAAATCAAGGATATTAGTGGTTCTGCAAGACCGATACATACTACTCACCATAGACATAGCGTCATACGCGCTTTCCAAGAGTGGATGCCGTCGGGATTGGGGGATGGCGCTTGCTTTGTGAAAACGCATTATAACAAGGTATATAGTATCAATTAGGGATAGCGTCTGGTGCTTAAGATTCTTCATTTTGTGAGAGGAACTATTTAGAAAATATATAATATGGGTGTTGTTTTTGATAACATAGTACTTGAGATTCTTAAGCATAATGCGTGGCTGTATAATAAAAATACCTTGCGATGAAGTTATTTACTATGCGAAAGAGCCCTACCTTAAAATACTAAACTGTTTGTGCATTTTTGGGCGACGTCCCGTTAATGAACGCAAAAAATTGAGAAACTGATTCAATGTCTGTTCTTGTTATAGTATAAACTACGACATATGGTGCTGTGAATTGCTAAACTGTTGTCCATTTCGTATAAATTGAATTTAGCAACATGTCTAACGTAATATTTTTACCGAGGGAGGTAGTAAACACTCTGAAGAAACCCGATCGTCACTTGACTCTATTCAATGTCTACTCGTCAAATGATAGTATGCCTGGATCACTAGTGTTTATACTTAAAATATCGTAGATTTTTATGAAATAATGGATCAACGGTTAAAAGAAACAGGTTGTTCAGTATAACTAAATATATAATGTGTAAGTGTTTTCATAAGATACAATAGTGTACGTTGACGATCTAGGTCTATATTCTGATGACAGCAATGACACAATACCGAATAAGGTATTATTAGTGTCAAAGCCAACAATTCATGTGTAGTTATTTCTGAAGAAGGTAAAATCAACTAATGGAAAGTGTATTAATTAGGCTACCATTTTAAGTCTTGATTCAAGACCCATAGTACCCCCCCCCCTTATCTACTTTAACAACCTGTTGTTGAAGCGGGGAGCTTGAGGCAAGACTAGCTTCCATTCTGAAAGTTGACAACTTTAATTTGCGAGTTCCAGTTCAAATCAATTCATTGCAAGGGAAAAAAGTCTCATCATCTCATTTATTGAGACCTTTAATTCAATAGTTTTATCCTTACTTAATGTCAAGACCTTTAAAAAAAGATTGGATATACTTCAAGCGTGTTTTGTGTTCTCAAATGTCATTAACATATATATTAAACAAGACTGTCATAGCATTTCGTGTCCCCTCAAATTAATGAAAATGAGCAAATGCGAAGTTAATGGGATGCTATAATAGTCTCATAGTATCTTAACGTCATGAATAGAATGTAAACAGTTCTGAATATTTTCTAGTTGACAGTTTAACATATCTTGTTTTTCACTCAAAATTGAAATGATGATTTCAATGGCGGTAATTGTCATCAAAATCTGTCCATAATTTTTGAAATTGAATACAGCTTCAAAATTGAACATTTTGTAATTCGTGCTGAGAATTAATCAGCAAATATGTCGTTAAACTCGATCGTAGAACTAATAAACGCTTACCTGGTTGTGAAGAGGTTAAATATATACGCTAACTTTTATATCCAATTATCGACTTAAGACGAAGCGAACGTCTGTATCTTTTAATTCAAATTATCACTGATTTTTTGTAATTGGGTTTCCAGTTCACTATTTGTACGTTATCCATCGATTATACATGCAGCAGAAAAGTCAAAACAAAAATCCTTTTAGCCTGTTTGGAACCTCATAAATAGACTCAACTATTCCGTTCATCTCCCATCTGTTTTTAACTTCATACTAACAATTTCCAAAGCTAGAAGGGAGAAAGTCAAGCAGAACGTTGTAAACCCCATGGGCTAAGAATGACTTGTAATATCGGATAAAAAACAAATTCACATATTTCATTTTATGGAGTGACAAAAATCAGGTTCAAAAACATAAATTACCGGGATTTTGGGCTGAACATAGTGATGTGTCGTAAATCCCTGGCAACCGTTGTTATGGTGAAATAACTTGGATTGGACATCACTAAAATTGATAATTGTAAAAGTTGGCGTGAAGTGCAATCAAGCTATGATTGATTTGCAATCGCAATAAATTAACAAATAAGTCGGTGATCATGAGATAGTGATAATGAACACATTGGTTGTATATGTTAAAAAGTTTGTATTATTGATTTATCAAAAGAATCGCTTTAAAGATGGCGTTTATAAATACATTCCAAGAAAGAGAAAGTTATACTATTAGTCATCACCATAGTAATTAGACCTCGAGATTATGGCAAAATCAGTCAAAAATCATTAATATTTTCATATTTCAAACAAATGTAAAACGTAGTTTTTTACTATGTTTGTTTGACCTTTACTTGACTTATAGCCAGTAGATATCAACATTTGCATTATTTAATTCTTCATCAATCATCTCCAATCTTTTATTCAGTCTATCGTAAGATGTTTTGTTGTTAAATATTTAGGAGACACGCTCTCCCAAACGTTTGCCGATGGCAACTGATATAGTTATTTGAAATATCCCAAATACATTTACTCTTTAAGTGAGTCTAACTGCCCAATAAACGACGTATAACATGATGAACGGTTAATTTTAAAGATAACTGTACAAAATGATAGGTGATCATACAAAGCGACGATTACGTAATACGAGTTTCCCTATGCCCCCAAGATAAATCGTTTCATTTTATCATAAATATAGTATAAAAATTATTTAATATCGACAATATGTTGCCATCTCCCATCTTGATTTACAAGGTGTTTGTTTTGGCCTCACCTTGGAACTCCATTGTTGGATCCAGAGTCTCTACAACCCCTTCTTGAAATAGAGAGATTGGGGGATGACGAGTGACGACTGCAGATGTTTCGTGTACGTACTTGCCATAAGCTTTAGATAAAGAGAGACACTGATAAATCAGATTAATATTGGACGTCGGTGATATCCATCCTCTTAAATCTTAATGTTCATCTTTGATAATAAATGGCTGGTTATGGCGAGACGGTTGCCCCACCCTCCTCCAAACCTCTTTTACCGTTACAACCCCCACCACTCTCCCACTTACCTTTACGTTAAACCCCAACCCCATGTCAATGTTCATTCTCTTCCTCCTTCACCTTCTTAATATATCTTACTCTTTTATCAAACTTTACAAGGTTTTTGAACTCTTATAGCATTCCCTCGTCTCGGGGCTCGTTTTACAAGTAGACTACAATAAATATCCTTTATCATTATTCAAAGGTTATTCTTTCCCGAATTTGTAGGATAACTACAGAGGACCAACCAAATAAATTCGTTGATGGTATTGTAGTCTGGCTCCAAGCCCCCGCCAACAAAAGGTGAGAAGGTGTTTAGTCCCATTGAATAGTGACCTCTCTAACAAGCATTATATAAAGAGAGACTGGTAAATGAGACTGGGGTCGGGTGATCAACGAGCGGAATTAGTATAAGATGCTACTCAAATTCCATTGACTTATTCTTCTTGAACTAAGAAAAATCGTCGCTCATTTTTTATTATGTTTGTACTGTAATTCATAAGCCAATCACTGTCGTCATTAATTTGTCGAAGCACAGCACCTATGTTGAGTGTTTGACAGGTGTAATTAGCCTCGTATTGAGACAATGTTTTTCATCGAGCCCTCTTGTACTCGCTCACGCGTATACCTACTAAGAAAATAAATAAATAAGGGTGGGGTTGGGAATAAATACTAAATCAGCCATGAGGTTTTGTTTTGTCGACTTGAGGTTCCATCTAGGGAAGAACGAATATAAATGTAAGACGGATTAGCCTAGGCCCGAGGATTAGGTCATCAAAGAGTTGAAGTTTACAATTTACGAAATGATCAAGGTCATATTTAAGAAGTGATAAATAAAGATTATGTTAACAATTGATAACATATTAAGGTCAATGTCAAATGAAACGCCATATTTCACCGCTATTTCAGTTAACTTGCTTAATGTACAAAAGTAGATACGACAATGTGCCGTATTCAAGAAGTGCAGAAAACCCCGATCACGCGTGGCACCTTAGGGATCCATTAAGGGGGGTAGTTCTGAATGATTTGTTTATTTCAAAGTATGAATCGTGTCATTAGTTTCTCAAACTTTCTTTATCAAACTTGTACTGTCAAAGATGTACCGATCATCTGAGCTTCATTCTAATTCAGCTGTAAATATCATACTGATAATCTCTGTGGTTTTTAATGAATTGGCACATGGTACAACTGTGTTGAGATAAGGCATGTCTTTTTGTAGTTAAATACTTATTAAAGCCGTATGTCTATGAGCTAACTGTTGGCTACCGTATGTTTCTGAAAAACACGTGAATATGAAAGAGAATTTACGATATGCTGGCCATATTCGAAACCATTTTCAATTATTGCGTCATTTGGAAATTGGTATTTACAACCCCGGGTTTACAACCTGAGCGAATTATTGGTATTTGTATGTTTTGTGTTCTGTCGTTGTTGCCCTTTGAGTATTTTGATTAAAATGATGGAAAAGTACTCACCGTATGTGTATGATCTAATCGTGTTCTTGGATCTATACTACCAAGTAATGATTATCCCTGTTATATTTTCATTTGACATCGGATATGTTGATCATTTAGATATATTGAGCTGTACTTAAAACTAGCAATACCAAAATCAAAGCTCTAACTGATTTCCTCTTTTAAACCATAATACATATAATCACTCCGTCCAAGCATTAAAACTTTGACATTTTATCATTTGGGCTGAAAAATAATTTCAAATGATTCGAGAGAATTTTCTTTAATTAGGGCCTCCATGGTTTGCTTGTATTAGTTAATGACTTATTACTTTTCAGAATTTACAATAAATCAAACTCTGATTAAGAATCACTCACCTGAAAACGATTATTTTTACAAGTTATAATGAATCTAGTTAAATATATATAAATTATACAGGTATAAATATCTCGCTATTAGTTACTTTTGGCATATTGAGCAATTCCATCATAGATACCGACAACAGATATTAGTAATGATACACCATCAAGGCAACCACGTGTGAAATGAAAGCGACTCCCACACTCTGATACCTTAGACCCAGAGATTAGCCGGCCGTAAATACTCTCCTCTGAAAAACTTGCTTCTTTTATTGATAAAAAATTGATTAAAGTAAACTTAACGCCCGCATTGGTGACAGTGTTGTTATTCAACTAATCAGATGTGAAGCTGATTCCTATGCGACACAAATCCCGAGACTCTGATTAAGAGACTTGATCATAAAAAATGAAATAGAAAAAACAGTAAGGATAGACTAGTAATTATTTACAATGGGTAACAATGATACTGCAAGCCAAGTCCACCGAAACTCGCAGGTGACGTGAAAAGACCAGACTTTTTCATCCTTACTCGTTGACCTACCATCTTGATCTTTAAGTTTTGCTGTCTGTGGTATTTCAAAAGAAATGCTACAAGGGCCCAATATGGCTGCTTTTAATTAGAGTCACAATAGCCTTGCTGGATTTTTTAATATCTCATTTTTCTCAATTCGAAAGTTTTTACGAGGTTGATGTAAAGATTCATTAAGAAAGAAAATGGCCCTGGGCTTGGCAAGGGCTCTCAAAAGTTGAACCAAGAAAACAGTCTTTTCATCTAAACGTTTGTACAAATCTATTTACCAAGTGAGTAATTGTTTCATAGAAAGAGCAAAATAATTTAAAAAACAAAATTGAGGTTTCCAAAACATATTAGACTATAAATAAAGGGAAGTTTGCGGTATTTCCTCATGCAAAGTGGTCTATAAGCATAAACCACTCCACCTGTATAACATCAGGTTACCTGGCCAGGTAAGGCACCCTTAAATAAGATATTAAATGTTTTAGATTTCAAAATAAAATGGAAATGGTAGCTTTGCAAGATGATTTTCTTGCGGATTTGTAGTAAGATCTTAAATTGGTACATAATAGGAAGACAAGAGTATTTGGCTACACAATATGCAATTTGTGTGTTTATGAGAGAGAGAGGGGCAGACTTCTTTTTAGAGTGACATCTTACGCGAGAGGTTCATAAGAAATACGACAACAGCATTTACGTGAGCGGGGGTGGTTAGGGAGCAATAGTTCTCTTTGTGGTTATATCTTTTCATTTTTGTTGGGTCAACAATCATTTATTTGAGAATCTAGGCTTTACATATACTTGATTATTGTTTGTACACAAGTGACATCTCATAACTTGAGTATGGGCAGCACTACGAAAACCGACAACAACATGTAATGAGAGAGGGTGTTAGGGAGCGACCACCTTCCTTGGGGTTAGAGGTCTTGTTTGTAGGTCATTTCTTAATAACCGAGAATGCACTTTGTTCATAATGTTCTCTTATTGAAGAGTGATGACGTATACCTACGCATAGTTTTATATCAGGTATATAGTCATAAATAAATAGTCTAGCTACAGGCCCTTGTGACACAAGTTATTAGAATAGATAGTCCAGGGTCTTCAAGCAAGACTATATCCGGGACTAACATTTGAGCCACTGTCTAATCTATACTTGTCATCCGTACGCAAAAAAGTCTCCAAGTATTTAATTCCAACGACATTATTCAATACAACTGTGAGAGTATTTCCTATATCAATATTCAACATGTCTCTCGATTCCTCTCTGGTCATTGCACGGGTTATTGAGTTCGGGGGAAGGG